ATGCATTCAAGCATGCTAACTCGTAACTCCTGCATTTGTTGACTCAGTTTGTACCATTCACTCATAGAATTTTTCAGAGGGTCTTACTAGAACTGGTGAGGAACAACTAGAGATTCAAGGTTCAAGCTGGAAGAGGGTGTGGATCCCCAAGTGTCTGATTCACAAGGAAAAATTCCATAAAGATATCCTGCTTTAAGCACTGGGCAAGAAGTTCATACACAGAGTCCTGCTTACTCATAACTGAAAAAAACTCAATCCTAAACAACACCAGCAATCAAGGTTGACAGCTGGCAGTTCAAACATTTGTTCATTAACGTTTGATTCCACACAAGAACCCAAATGGAAGGTTTTGAGGAGAAAAATAAGATATGAGAAATATCACATAAAGGAAATTCACCTGCTTCCTTCACCAACCACTCCTAAAAACAACTTCAGTGTGCCAAATCACTAAACTACTTAAATGGAGAGCCCCTTACAATCCAGAGAAGGCTGCAACACTGCTAAGAATTTAACAGTAAGGGAGCTTCACCAGTTTTATTCCATCAGTAACCGGTGTCTCTGAGCTGTCTGACAAAGGCAAGGCTAGCAGCAGAAGCACTGCTCAAACCACTTCTGAAAATCTGCTTGAGAATTTACAGGTTTCTGGCTTACTCATTAGAAAATAAATGTGAGGGAAGGAGAAGGATGGGAGAGAAAGAATGGGAATAATTTCACCATATACTTCAAAGTAGTCAAGTAGTTCTCTTCAACTATGTGAGAGGCCTTTTTCCCCTGCAAAAGAAAGCTCTTTTCTTACGTGGAGTCAATGGGTTGGTTTGTCCTTCACAGCTTAAGAGCCTGTTTCAACCACTAATAGCTTCTGGTTAGGAAAAAAATAAATAAAAAATTATTCCACAAGCATGGCTCTCCGCCTTTAAAATGTAGAAAGGTCAGAGTGCTTGTGGGGTTTTCTGTTTGTTTTATATCAATAACAGAAGGCAAAAGCAGACAGCAAATGCAGATACCCAAGTCAGCTCTAAATCCATAGAGCTCCAGAAATGGAAACAGTCTGGTTGTCATAGCAGCAGAGCACGATACCTGAGCTAATTACTCAGTCTGAGAGATAGAGCTAATTAGCCCAGATGCAGCATCATACTGACACAGTTATAATCCTTCGGGGACCCGGGCACGCATACTGCTGATTAGACATTTCAGCTTGCCTGCAACTAGCTCAGAGATCTCAGCACATTATGCTTTACATAAGTGTTCAAAAAAAGAAAAGAAAAAAAAGGAAAAAAGCAAAAATATGTTCCTATAAAGAAGCAATGGAAAAGAGCTCTCAAAAAACCCCAGAAAACTCTGAACGCTGCTCTGTAACTCTTCTGCAAGAGAAGAGGCTGCCTGTATCCACAATGCTACAGATCAAACTACAACATTTGAAATGGAAATCTCAGCAGTATGGATACACTTCCACCCCAAGCCAAGTGAAAGTTATTTGAAAAATCAGTTTATCATTAGGACAACCTAAATTCAAAAAGTTCCCCATTATCTAAAAATGCAAAACCCTAAATTAAGTTCCTGACAGAGAAGCAAGAAGGTAAATACAACACCACCAGCTTTACAGGTTGTGAATACTGTGCAAAATAAATACCTACTACCAAACCAACCAACCTCTTTTTTTCAAGGACAGGAAACAGCATTTATTTGCTGTTTTTCCAGGAAAAAAAAGTGTTTTAAAACTAACTTTTTCATCTTTCTATGTTACTATCTGATACAAGATCCTCCCTCTAGAAGCAGCAGTGCATTTTAAAAGGGTAAGAAACAAGAAGTGAGCAAGTGAATTTATCAGTCCTTGTTAACCATTTTTCTGCCACAGAGAACATCACGGAGAAGACTACACAAACTGTGAAAGGCAGGGATTTTCGTTGGTATTCTTGAAAAAAAAAACGACAAGATAAAGGAAAAATTCTTTATGAAACTATTTTTACTTCTTTGTAATCAAAATCAGCAAAAGCAATAAATTGACAGATTGAGCAGGCAAACTGGTGGAAAGGTGGCATCAAAAGTGATTTTTAACTGCCATGCAAATCTAATTACTGCATTGAGATGCTTTTGGTAGTTCAACAGGACAAACTTCTAATTTACACCAAATGATCCTTTAAAAACCCAGAAAGATTACTGAAGTCATGCTGAAAACCAAATCTCTCACGTTTCAACGGACATTACTGTATGAATCAGAACACATTATATAGAAAGTAACCGATGAAACAGATACTCAGAAGAGTTGACAAAGGACAGACATCCTTGAATATTTGGTTTATATTTATTCAATTTTAAGTTGCACAGATCTTTTAAAGTTCACCTCCAAAAATAATTAATTTTACAATTTTTCATATTACTAATTTACATAACAGGCCTGCTTATTCATAGTTACAAGAGATCACTTCTCATTTCAGGAGCATCTCTAAGCAAAGCTGGAAGATGCTAAGATGTTCATTCAAGCATACGCACTGCCCAAGAGAATGGGATAAATCTATCAAAATCAATGTTTCTCTAAGAAGAAAGATATTTTTGTCAGGGTCACTACTGTTGCTACATAAAACAGTTTGGTGCCTAAATGATTTCTAATTAAAGTCAGAAAACAGGCGCACACTCTTCACCTGCCTAAAACTTTTGAAAGAAATTTCAAGCTAAGTGTATTTCATATACCAAATAATTCTAAGCACTGTTAAAATGGTAGTTTTATAAACCTAGCATCACTTTCAAAGTTTCCTGAGGAATCTCCTCCCAAGGTAGTTGTCCTCCTCCCTTCAAGTTAATGATCACAAAGTTAGATATACTATCAGTAAGCATTTAGATCCAACATTGGGAAAGAAGACAGAAGAATCCGAGACAATGTCAGTGGAGCAAACTGAAAAGAAGAAAATTAAGGAATATTAAGGAAGACAAAGCAGGCATTCAGATTCACGAGGAGCTGTTATTTATCAGAAATGGAAGCAAAAAAGAACATCAACAAAATTTTTAAAGGCAAATAAAAATGTCATAATAGAGCATATAATCTTCCCTTGAAAAAGAAACTTGGTCTTCCTCACAAAATACAGAGCATCCCCAGATTTCCATATCTCTTCTCCATTAAGGACAGCTTAGTAGGCATTTTACCCTAGGTGGACTACCAATAAAATCCGCTCTTTTCTGATGAAGTTTTTACTTATGCTAGAAAACAGGCATGTTACTGGAAATTGGAAAGAACAGAACTGTTTGCCATGATTTTAACCCTGTTTTACAGCTGCTGCTATACCCACTGCAAAAGTGCCAACACAGAAATAAATCCCCCACAGACACTACAAACTCAGGGGATAAGTCATTTTTGCTTCCTCTTTTCTATCATAGCTGTTCAGGACCAGGCGGCTACTAAAGCAAGCTCAGCAGAGAGATATCCCTGAGGGTACAAGGCAGAGTACAGAAAATGGATAGAAAGTCACCACTAAAAAAAAAAAAAATAATTAAAAAAGAGTAAATGACATCAGCCACTTGAAGCGCTGCTGCTTCACAGCCAATAACAGAAAGCTCTTCTGGGAAGCAATTGCTTCAGCAGCATATGGTTGACAGCGGGCATTCAGCCTGCATCAGTCAGTAACAAGAAGTTTAAAAAATATGAATCTTCTGAGATTATAAAAGTGCTGCTTTCCCTAACAAGGAGAAAGAAAGGAAGCAGAAATGAGAGAGCAGCAGGGGAATGAAGATATTTATGACATGCCTCCACCAAAAGCTTGCATCAACAAGAATGAAAAACATATGGCCAAGCATCCCTTTGGTTTAATGCTGCCCAAATTCTCACAAAGAAGCTTGTGGTTTGTTTTTTTCATATATACCTTTAGGAGAGTGTTCAAAAATGAAACAGTATACAACTACTATCACATAAGCTGCCAAACAAGTCTGAAAAACATTTTAGGGAATCTGTGTGAACAGTACAGACATTGACACAGGCTGGTAATCTAAACCCTAAGCTTCAGCCCTTTCACAGAATGTTTCCAGAGCTTCAGTCCTTCCTATCATCCACAAAATAAGTTTATTTCCTTAAGCTATGAAAAAGTTGCCTAAATGCTGACAGCTCATATTTCTTTTCTGTACTTGGGACTTCACCTTATACTTAAGAAGAAAGAAAAGGGACTTCGACCCAGATCATTTGATGTCTAAAGGTACATTCCCATATCAGCTACAAAATGAAGAAAAAGAATTTCTGAATTGTGGGTTATTTTCAGCTCTACTCAAAGCAAATCACAGGAAGCATCAGGAAGCAGTAAATAGCTTGGTTCCGGGCACTACAGAGAGAACAGAGCTCTGACTTTCTCTCTTTTTAAGACTGAGTTAACTGAGAAAAGACAACACATGAAAAATTCATTAGAAGGTACAGCGCGGCAACAGAATGCTAGAAAGACTGACTGCTGCATGCCTGGTAATGGAGACTGCTTAAATAGGGTATAAAAGGTAGGCCACTTGCTGCTGACTTCATAAAGTATTAGAGGAAGAAATAAGATTCTTGCTTCATCCAGAAGAAATATTTCCTGCTAATCAAAGTCATCTGAAGCCTGACTCCTTCCTCTTCAGTTTAAAAAACCACCATTTTCCTAGAAAAAAAGAAAAAATAGCGAAGTTAACATATAGCTACATCTACTAATTCTTGTAATAAAAAAATGAGGAAGAAACAGAAAGGGGAAGTAAAGATAAGCCTACCTTGATTAACAGATCTTTTATCTCCTTTTGCTGATGAGCAGAGTGTCTCGGTGAGGATTTGTACACTTTAGGACGATGACAGGAAAGTGAGAAAAAGAAAGGGTAGGCCCTTGACAAACAAGTTTTAAATAAAATCATTCTTGAATGTAGACAATATTTCTATATAAACCATGCATACAAGGAGTACCAATCCATGTGTCTCCCACATCTTTATCAGCATTTGCACTAATACACGTTTGTATGACTGTCAGATTTATTCTATACAACTTGTTTCCAACATTCTGTACCTCGACATCCTGAACACTGGATAAAGAAGTTGATTAAATCCAGAAGTGCTATGTCCCTGTCTTGTTTATATGATTCAATCCAGTCGTCCACCACAGACTGTCAAGAAAAAAAGAATACTTATCAGAGACTCTTAAAAAGTGTTTTATTAAAGGCAAATGACTTATTCTTTTCAGAATATAATTTTATAACTGAGCATTTATTTTGCATAATTATACATGTGTACAAATTCAGAAATCTATACACCTTCTCTCAGGGTGGAGACAGAACAAATCTTGTTAGAGAATAGAACTATATGCATCGTTTTCTGGTATCGTAATTGTGTAAACACAAGTTCAAATTGAAATTACTGTAATTCCTCCAAACTCTATTTACAGTATTTATCCAGTTTCAAAATTGTCTTGAAAAAACTAACACTGTGATTCCATTCAGAATGACCAACACATATGCCCAGAAAAACTGATGAGTAGAAACACTTTGGGATAAAAATTGAATTTATATTGTATAGTGAACATCTCACTATTTATAAAGACGGAAGTAGTGTATCAGTCATTCAGAAACACTGTACATAGCTCAGGAAGACAGAACGCAATGAGGAATAATTGGTAAATAAAAATAATACACAGAAGTTGTTCTTACAGCATCTGGGAGCCAATAAGCCACCTGAATGACAGTACATGAAGCTGAGTCACAGTTTTAAACTGCACTCAGAACTACAGGAGTTATTTTTGTAATAAGGAGATATTTTTGTAATCACTGATACACAGGCATAGCACACAGTCAATGAATAATAGCAGGGAGGAGGACAGAAAGCATACAGGTGTCAAAAACGTTTGTCATTTGTCATATATTAATCTCTGGGGACAGAAAATGTGCCTCAGTACCTTGATGAGAAAGGGCATTAAATGAATTTCGCCAGTCAACATAAAAGTGCAATCACAGCATCAGAAAGAGTTAATGGCAGACATACATCAGCTGAAAGGAATGCAGCAAAGCCTATAGCTGCTTCCCATACAGACACTTTACCCTACAGTTCTGACTACAGAACCCTATATCAAAGCTGCACAGACCTACAATTTTTAAAACTCCAGATGTTGGGAAAATGAAGCAATGAGGACAAAGCAAACAAAATAACTATGGAAACACTTAAAAACTGTTCTAGAAAAGCAAGAGGGCTGGGTGAAGTCCTTCTTCAGCCTGCTTCATGCTTAAGGAAGACAAGTATGGTTTCCTTTCATGTCACTAAAATACAGTATTCCAAGTTCCTCAGTTACATAAACACTGAAGGTAAGGAATTGTGTATATTTAATGCAACCATATACTGTATTTTATTTATTTTATGAGGGGGAAATAAAAATATATTTACTGTTCCATACATGAGGCAGCATTCATTAAGAGAAGCTTGATTATGCTATCAGAGCACACCTTGCAAATGGATTATTTTATTTCGGAGAGTTCAGGTTTACAAATAATTTCTATAAAACTAATTTTACACATACAGCTCCCCCCCATCCCCACACAACAAGCTTCCAACCGTGCTGAAAACGAATGAATAGGAAAGACAAAATCCAAACAACTCAACCTCCTAGAAAAAGTTGGCCTCTCTAAACTAGTAGATATAAGGATAGGATCTTGAAAAATCCCTCTACAGTTTCTAGCTTAGCCAAGTGCAAAATCCCCGATCGCCAGTGGGACCTTAGCAAGCATATGAGAAAAGGGAAGCAGCAAAACAGTTGTGTATGCACCACAGATATACAGAACTCCGAACTGAGCCAAACCACTCCATGTTTATCACAGATCACTATACTTGTCCTTAACCCAAGACAGGATGAGACTATCAGTATCATCATGTTATTCAACAACCAGCATGAATCTGTAAACATTAAATTTGCCAGGAAACTAAGTTTTTACAGGTTTTGTCTACCAATACACACACACGCGTGCCCAGTAGGAGAAGCAATCTTATGAAGAGGTCCATCTGCTACTTAGAAGAAATTAAAAAGGAAGTCTTGGCCTCTTATGAATCTTCACACAAGTTGAGGAAACATGAAGCAGCAGCACAAAACCAGTTATCTAGAATGCTTCCCTATTATTTCATCATGAATTTAGACCTGTTCCTGTATGTATCAATCATTTCAATCAATGATGTAATTCTCCAGGGCACGTAAAATCAAATGTAAAAATTATTTACTAAACCAAATATTGACAAAGCTTAATGACCAGACTGCTGGTGTACTACCAACTTAAAAGATTTGTTTGAACAGCTATATTACTGTAGATATCAGCAAAACATACAATTGCCAGCAGCTGTTTTTTTCACTGAAGAAAACAGCAGCTGTGCTGGGTCAGACCATAGGTTCACCTGCCCAACAGGGCTTATATGGGTAGGGAAAAAGGATAAGGAAAAGAATAGGGATAGGGCAAGAATACACTGATAGTTCCAAGTTACTCTCCCAGACCCGTAAGATCCTAGCATATTTCTTCTCTCACGAAAGCATCTGTCTAAACCAGAAAGTTTTATGCCTACATCATCTTGCAGCAATGTGTCTCAAGGACTAATTATTCACTACAAAAAAAGAATAACAGTTTTGTTCTAGACTCACCAATTGCTAGATCTATTTGATGTGACCTAATTCTTACGGAAGAAGAGAAAACAAACCTCAAGCTCCTATCTGTATTTTCCATGCTTCCACTTGGTCACCTCCTCTCAGGCAAAACAATCCTACTCTCTGCCATGTGGCTTGCACAGAAACACTTCCACATCTTAATCTTTGCTCACTCTTGTCACACATCTCTTAACAGTTTCTGAAGTCTACTATAGTCTTCTTTGAGCCTGGGAAATCTCGGATGCTTTTCCTGAGTGTTAAGAACTAGTTCGCCAGCATCTGTGCACTGTCCACAGCCTAGTTTCACAGAAAACATTCCCTGGAGAAGCAAGGCTGGCCTGAGAGATTCCTTTCCACATTCAGTCTTACTCCAGTTTCTTGCTACAACATACTGCCCCTTCAGCTATACCACTGAACTGTTTCCGGACCATGCTACAAATATTGCCAGCGAACCCATCTGGACAAAAAAAAGGGGGAGCAGAGGGGAGAGATCTGAAGGAGTATCTTTCAATTTTGCTTCTGCTTCTTTTAAACAATTATTTAATTGATTTTTGCAGCACTCTCAAAACTGTAGCATCAGGGCAGCTCATCTCCCTTTTGATATTCTTTTCTCTTCATACAAAAAGAACTGTGAGGCACACACTATGTCCTTGGGCACTAAGGGCCCACTCTGTCCTATCTAGTACAGCATTTGTATTTTCAACCCAGAACCACAATGCAGTTCACAGAAAAATGAAGACAAGCAGCTGATCTCAAGACTCAGGGACCAGACTTGAGGCAATGCAGTCTTTAGTGGCAGCAGTAGATAAAGAAAGCAGCAAAATCAGAGGGAAGGTTCTGAGCAGGGATAGCAGGCAAAGACTGCCTCCTGCGTCATCTGGACCTAGCAGAGGACTGACAAAGCTTTAACTAAAATTTTGAAAGTTTGGGTAGGATTTGTAACTGTACATGCACAGCCTGCGTAGTCACATGAGCTAGTCTCTTCCTTTATACTCAACATAGTGTGCACGTGTGCGCACACATGCATACATGTATATAGTCAATATTCAGTGGAGTTGTCAGCGTAATTCATCTGTCTACAGCAGGTCCACATAGTGAGATGAGATGGCTCCTGCTTAAAAATGCTCCTGATGACACCAAGTAGATCTCCACTGATCACCTGAGGAGCTTAGGGTGACACGTCACGTACAGGCACCTGACCTGCTGGCATCAGTACAGAGTCACATCAATTGTATTCACTAATCCCTAAAAATGAGAGGGGTACCCTCAGTGTATCAAAACCAAAATAACGCCCACAGATTTACATCATTCAACCCTTCATGCACATTTGGCATGCTTGTTGGTAAATTTTTTGAGAGATTACAGTTTAAGACAACAGGAGATAATGAAGCCAGACTACATATGCTACAACAGTTGGAACTTAATCAAACTGTTGACTTTTGATGTAACAGAGAAGAGCTATAAAAACTGAAAACACTAGGATGAAAAAATAAAAATGATGCACATCAGATCTAAAATAGAGACAAGTATCAACTGAACCAAGGAAAAACAGTAGTAATCCAAATACCTGGAAAAAGATTGAACACCAATGAAAAAGAAACCAAACAACAGGCAATATTGTAGCAAATGATGCAACAAGCAATCATTGCCAGAAAAGGAATTATTTTCCATAAACATGCATAGAGACATAGACTTCTATTAAAAAAAAGGATTTCTAACCAACAGTCTACAGGTTACAGCAAACCCTCCAGGACGATTTTATCTTGTTAGCAGCCCCCATCCAGTCATCCTGTTTTCAAGAGCTTCTCAGACATAAGCAAAGAGCAAACTCAGGGCAGCAGCCCACATTTGGGTACCATCTTGCCCAGAGATATCCTGCCTGGGCCCCCTCCCTGTCACCTGTCCCAAACACAAAATTGATATTGCAGTGAAGGCACACGCAGTGACAGGAGGAGGGAAGGACCCGTCAGCTCTTTGGAAAGGAGGTAGCTACAAGTGGGCACCATTCACCAGAAGAATTCATCCCCACAAGGGTCTTGTCACCTACTTCTGCAAAACACTTCGGAAAGATGGTAGGAATAGATTGCATGAGTTGTTCTGGTGGTACCCACCTGCTTCCAGATGTTTTTACCTTCAGATGCAGTAGAGAACATGGATTTACCATATGAAAATGTGCACTTGCATGCTGTGCATGAAATATATGATAAACTCAGCATTCCTGGGAAGCACAAGATCTACAGTACATGTGCTGCAGCACTCTGCCCAGGTGCAGGAAGTCCATGCTTTTGGGATTCAGCAAATTCAACGCACGTGCACAAGGAAAAGGCTCCCTTGACAACAAGGTTATGAAGCACAACAAATGAGAAATTGCACAAAACCCTCTAGCTTCTCACCTTCATTACCAGATTGGAGTGAGGCAAGGAGTATTAGAACTAAATTTTAAGCAAAGTAAAAAATTATCTAGCTCAGTTACATAAATAAAACCTCAAGATT